CCCATTGATTTAGCTTGGAAAGCGGGGAGAATGGCGCTAGGCTTACCGCACCGTGACGTCACTGCTGGAAGATGGCAGGAGGGAGGGGCTACTATATTTGGGCAAAAATGGCCGCTCCCAGACTCAGTGATCACGACAAAAAAAATACATATATATATATATATTTTTTTTTTACTGAATAACACTAAATTCATTAAATCAACTCGAACGTATTAGTTTGAGGTATAAATAATAATCCATATATTATTCCTCACTATCCGGACTTTTCCTTTAATAGAGGGAATTGATCATTTTCTTTATTAGGAAGGTGTGCAAACTTTCAAGCACAGCTGTATGACAGAATGAAAGTTATTTTATTAAATAACATTCTTGGACATGATCAAGTTTGGACTGAGAGCAGCTGAGCTGCCATGAAGCTCATAGTCTGAAGGAGCTGCTATCTGGTCTATATTTGTTTAATTAATCATGGAAGGAAAACCAAGACCAATAAAGAGTTAGAGGAGAGCAGGAACCCACAGTAGAAAATCAACATTTAATCTACAGTTAGTTCGACAGGCAAAGTAGAGATATGATCGTTCCAAACAGGTCTTTAGGCACAGGGACATACATTTAAAAATAGCATATATCATAGCATATATTATTCTATGGAGCATAAAGGCTTTTTAACGCAACAACATAAGCACTTCATCGTCGGCTGTACAAAAATACATCTAAATCTCTCTTTATCTGCACTTTTAGGCGTTATGTGTGTGTGTGTGTTCACATGTATGAATGCATTTGTGTTTATGTGTGGATCATGTGTCCTCCTGCAGCAGCTGCTCAGCCGAAGTCGATGCGCGGCCGGTACTCCAGGACCATGGGGTACGTCTGGTGAAGACAGAGGAGAATCAACACGTTACTTTAGAAAGATATGAAACTAAACTGATGTGGGTGGGGAGGGAAATCAGCGGTCAGAAACGTAACTATTTATATGCAAACTATAGAAAAATACTTCTATTAACAGCTAGAACATAGAAATAAAATAGAATAGATTGGAAGTGGAAGTTTGCAAATATAGAGTATAAATTATGAAAATGCAGGAATAACAGACAGAAAAAAGTACAATACTGTCAACAAGAAAGTAAAACTGAGTTTGAAGATTGAAATGAAATATATAAAAAAGTGCATTAAAAAAAAACAAATATTAACATGAGAATGAAACAATATTGTCAGGACTCCTGTCTGTTTTTTGTCTTTGCCTCTCGGCAGGAAGTCATCCTGCAAACTGGATTTCTCGGACCTTCTCTCCCTGGAAGGATCAACTGAGCCTCAAACTGAGCTGGGGTTCAAACAGGAGGTTTGGATCCACTTTCCTTAAGAGATCGTCTGAGCTTCACACTGAGAAAGGGATTCATCTCCACTACGACCCGTTCAAGTACCACAGGAAATCTGAGTGGCAGTCAGTTTCTCCGTTCACCAACTATCAGTTGCATTCTGGGTAAAACCTGTTCCGCCCTCCACCGAATCAGACAAACACTGGAACCACAGCACACAGACAGGAGTCAACGATTCAACAACTTCTCTGGAAATATGAGTCGGCAACCAAATCCTCTTCTCCATGTTTACGGGTCAAATTTCCCACTGAGCCTGAACTAACCGCTGTGTCTTCCCCTCACTTTACAGTTCCGGTTGAGCAGTGTTCAGAGCAACACTTCTCCCTCTGCTAAACTTCTTCAATAAAACCCGTTAAACCTTTTCCCTGGTCTCTCTGTTCGGTTTTCTGCATTTGGGTCTGAACTTTGTGACATCATGACAAATATAAAACCAGAAGAGGTGTAAAACTGGTGGAGCATATTGGGAGTAGTGGTGGTTATAATCTACCAGCTGCTGGAAGGATCTCTAATAGAATCTCTACCTGGTCCATAAGGCTGCAGCTGTCTGCACTGCAAAAACTGTAATATTAGTCATTTTTAATAACGTGTTTTTCCCTTTATTTTAAAGAGTTTAGTGAGTAAATTGTCTAAACAGATAAGATGATTTATGCTCAAAATAATAATTAAATCTCCTTTACCTAATTTCAAGTGCGTAATCTCTTTATTTTAAGTGCAAAACTACAAACCTAAAATGTCTTTTACCTGCTGAAATTAAAGGCAGACACACATTATATGTTATTTTAGAAATATTTACTTCAATTAATTATTTTGCAAATGGATTAATCTGTTTATTTTTTCAAATGAATTGATTAATAATCGATTCCTTAAAGAATTTTTATGAAATTCAACGATGTAAAACTAAAATATTACCATTAGAGGAGTTCTAGATAGAGCATATTGACAGAAAACCTTTTTTTATGTATTAACTGTAAAATGTCTCCTGGATCAGTTAGAGGTGAAGTCAGGATCAGCCGACCGCTTCTAGGAATTATTGGACCATAACGCTAAATCTGGACAGGAGTTTAGATTAGCAGGTGTTGCGTGAACAGCAATCTCCAACATTCACTGAGATCTCAGCTGTCAGAGCAGAACTGATTTTTGCCTCCGTTTTCAGCCAGTCTTTAAATCTGATACTTCTAGAGATCAACCAACTTTCCTGAGAAACAGTCAGTCAGCAACCAGAGTCCAGCTGTTTGTCGTTTCATCTCAGTCTAACTGCAGCTGCTCTGTTTCTAGACTCCCAAAGCTGCGTTCAACCATCTGCTGAACGTGGAGAGAGGACGGACGGACTGCAGACATACAAAGACATGGACGCCCATCAAATGCATCTCTATGGAAGAGTAGCAGGAAAAAGTAGCTGAGGAAAGAAAACCAGTCCTGCAGTTTACTGCAAACCAGTGAGGAGACACGGCGAGAAGGGACAGAAGGCCTCTGAAATGAAGCGAGGCCTGTAGAGGAAACCTAACACACAGCCAAACACGGTGGTGGCAGTATCATGTTCTTTTTTTCAGCGTTTTTATTGCCACTCCATGGGAGTGAGGCTTGAACTCAGAACCTCAGGATTCCAAGCGCAATACCCTAACCACGAGGCCGCCCCTCCCCAAAGAGAAGGACCCACACCGACAGCTCATTCCCCCCCGCTGGGAACGAACCCAGGCTTCCTGTTTGCAGGACGGGTCACTACCTAGCCAGCAGCATCTGCTCTGTATCAGCAGAGACAGGAAAGCTGGTCATAGGTAATGGAAGATGGACGAGTTTAATCCAGACCAACCCTGGAAGAAAAGCTATTAGTCTGCAGACGACTGGAGAGGAGGTTCACCTTCCAGCCTGAGACTCATTTTAAGAAAAAATGACTTCACTAGATTTCAATTTCTTCCAGTGTGGAAATAAGTGCATTTGTTCTTAGATTGAGGAGATAAAAGAGACATTTTTACAAGATAATTTACACTTAAAATAAGAAAACACAATTGCATTGTCTTATTTGTTATTAACATGTTAGAACACTACAAAAACAATCAAGAAATAAGTAAAAATGTCTAAAATAAAGTGTTTTCAGCTGTAATTTAAGTAGGTAAATGAGATAGTTTGCCAATGGAATGAATATTTTTACTCTTAAAATAAGATAATTAGATAATATGCTCTTGAAATAAGACAATGCAATGATGTTTTCTTATTTTAAATGTACATTGTCTTGTTTTATTGGCATTTACCTCCTCAATCCAAGAGAAAAGCACTTACTTTAAGAAAAAAATGACTTATTGAGATTTACATTTTTTGCAGTGAACGGCCTAGTCCAAGTCCAGACCTAACAGTCTACACTGAGGGAACAAATTCCAATTTCACTATAACATATTTTAACAGCACACACATATCTAATCCTTCCATAACTTCATCACTGTTATCTAGAAATAAGTAAAAATGTCTTAAATGAAGTGAATTTACCATTAATTTTAGCAGTTAAATAAGATGATTTGCCAATTGAATGAATAGTTTTACTTTTAAAATGTGAGAATTAAATAATATTCAATAGAAATAAGACAATGCAAAAGTTTATTCATGCTTCAAATGTAAATTGTCTTGTCTCCATTGGCAAAGTGTCTCACTTACCCCCCATATTCAAGCAAAAATGCACTTATTTGAAGAAAAAAAGTACTTTTCAGATTTCTTTTTGTTAAAAGTTTAAAAAACAAACAATAAAAACAATTAGATTTCATTTTTTTGCAGTGATTATGAAGAACTTAAAGAGTGAGAGCAGGATGGAGGATCTACTGTGGGGAGAGTAGTGCTTCCAGAAAGAGTTCAACTTGTTAGAAAACATGTTGTTAATTCTTTACAGCTAAAGTTTTGAGACAAACTGAGATGGTTTGGACAGGAAGGACGAAGAAAGAGACCAGGGGGGGGAAGATGAAGATGATCAGGCTCCTCCTGTAGGGAAAAGCTGAGGAGGTGTTTAAATGAAAGGAACGGGTGAGAAGTGATTGTTAGGAGGAACATCTCTTCAGCTGCACCATGAAGCCGTCTGAAATCGATGCAAACTGTTTATGACAAAGCAGCAGCAGAGAGGAGAGCCTCTGGCAGCTCGGGGCTGTTGGTGCAGCAGCACACAGCTGCTCCCGTGTCGTCTGCATTCTGCTGCGTCATTCCTCTGAGGAAACAGAACCCAGTCTAATCCCAGCCGAGCGCCACGGAGCCTCATCGCAGACGTTTGCTTTGCTTAACCTGCTGGGTCCAAATGCTTCACATCTGATGCATAAAGACGTCATCGGTTTGCTTCTCTATGAACATTTTCTAGGTCTGAATGAGCTTTATTCTCTTAGATTTTCCCATTTCAGCCACAATAACATCTCCTAAAATGATGCTAAACCTTTTTTTATATAATAAGACACTGAACCTGAGAAATTCAATCTGAAGGGAAATAAATAATACTATAATTGAAATTTATTGATCTAACATTGGAGAAATGTAGCAGTGGGCTGCCATTGTTCGGCGCCTGGAGAGCAAAAGGAGGTTAAGGGTCTTTGCTAACCACTAGGTCAGGGGTAACCGATTAAAAACCAGCAGGGTCCGAATAAAGAAAATAATCAACCAGTAAAGATCCAGAGACATTTTTAATTATAATCTGATACTTTAAAGAGAATTTAACACTGAAATAACATGAGGTTTTTATGCATCCATGTTATATATTGAATTTTATTAATAAAAAACATTAAAATAAATATATTATTCTATTTTAAAATCTAAAGTGTTTTCTGAAGTAGAGAACAACAATCGTTCAGTTTGATTTATAGAGAATTTCCTGATTCCCATATTTTATAAAACACCTGAACTGAGCGTTTGTTATTTTTCTTTCTTTGTTAGTGATTGATGGATAAGTATGGAGACTATAAAACACGTCTCGAGCTGACAGAGAAAATGAAATGTAAACATTTTGCATTAAAGATAAAAAAACACCTTTTCTGTCAATCTGCTCTATCCAGAACTACACACGTGAAAAAGTTTTAATTCAAAAATTTCTTTAAGGAACCTTTGACTATCCAAGATAAATTCATTGGTAAATAATCGTTAGTTGCCATCCTACATTCATTATGGTTACCGAAGTGTTTCGACCCATGAGAGCCTCTGGATGGTGAACTATGCAGCCTAGTCAGAAACTGGCTGCTGCTCCTTCAGGTTTCCATGCATTAAATGCTGTTTTTCTTTCTTTTCTTATATTCTACGTTACTGGACTCCAACAAGGTTCGTTAGAGCAGCTGATCACTGGAGTAAAGCTCTGTTTCTAACTTGTTATTCTGGGCCTGAATAATGAGGCTGAACGGTAATAACTGTTCTTTACCTTCTCCCTCCCACCTTCCTGCAGCAGAAAAGCTCCCTGAGTGACAGATCTTCCCTGGATCTGAGGAGCGGCCTCCATTTTTTGGAAGTTATGTAACAGATGTGAGCTCATGTGAGCACAGCTGGCTCTGACTCAGGATCTGCTGGATGAGCTTCGTCGCTAAAACTGCTTCCCTACTGTCCACAAGCAGGGGAGGTTCAACCACGCCTGCAAATGTTAAACTCTCTACTCACAGATAAACAATATAGGGCAAAGGGTTTTGCTCCGGTACTCATGTCTTCAGACCCTCATTCCAAACATCTTTTGTTTGTATTGGTTCTGATCCATAGTTAAGCTTCAGGTTTCTAGAGTTTTTCTCTGGATTCAGCTCTTTTTAAGCCCCGTCCTCCTTCTACCAGAAGCAAATGTTCTGGAATGCGTTTTGTTTTAACTACAGACAGATAAGGTTACAAAGAGAATAAAGTTTAGAAAATAGTTTCTTACACTTTTTCAAACTGTAGGAACCCCAAATACCAGAACCTTTGCTGAAACATTCAGACCTAAATGAACCTGAATCAGAAGATCGTTTTATTCTAGTCATGAATCCTGTTCCTGGATTCCATGTCGGGATTCTGCTATTTGAGGACTTTTTAGTTAAAGTTTCTTTCTGAGTTTTCAGCCACACTTTGATTTATGTCATTCTGTTTTGTTTTTGTTTTTTTGGTAATTGGTTTATTTTCCATTTTGTGTCATTCTAGTTGTTTTCTAGTTATATTTAATCATTGTTGTAATTTTTGAGTTACTCTCTGTCGCCCTCTTGTGCCAGTCTGCTCTTCCCTAGCTCCCTTCTAGTTACTTCTATCCACATCTGCTCCCCATTAGCTAATTAGCCCATTCTTTGTCCTGTCCCATATATACACCACCTGTGTAGTTCCTAATTGCTGGATTCTCTCCATTACTTCACTCCTCATGTATGTTCCTCCACCTTCCTGGCGTCTCCTAGTTTTGGTTACCTGTTTATTATTCTTGGATTTGTGCCTCTGTTACATCTACATCTAAATTCAATCTGCAAGAAATCATCTCTGCATCTCTAGTTAGTTCAGTTTCTACCGTTAGTCTCTCACTGCCATCAACACCTTTGTTTCTAGATGTTGGAGCTTAGCCTGTTTTTCAGTGTAGTCCTGTTTCTCTGACTGTGACTAACTGGATGTGCTCTCTTCATCCTCTGACATGGGTGTTGGCTTTGAATCAATCTAACTGGATAATCTGGTTAACTGTAAATTGCCTTGAGATGAGATGTGTTGCTAATTGGCACTACAGAAATAAACTGAATTGGATTTGGGTCCTCAGCTAATTTCTACCAAACCTCACATTTCTGGGCCTCATGTGGTTTTAAATTAAAACCAGACAGAGAAACGGTGCAGCACTGCAAAACAATGATCTAGAAATAAGTTTAAAAATTCTTAAATTAAGTGTAATTTGCCTTAATATGAGCAGTTAAATAAGATGATCTGCCAATGGAATTAGTTTTTTTACTCTTAAAATAAGATAATTAGGTAATATGCACTTGAAATAAGACAATGCAGCTATTTTTTTAAATTACTTTATAATTATCTTGTTCCATTGGCAGGGTGTCTCAATTACCTCCTCAATTTATTTCCAAAAAAAGTTTAAAAAACAATCCACCGGACTTTGTTTCCAAGCTTGAAAACGTTTCGCTTTTTCAATTGAAAATGTCAGGAATAGCGTGAAGTTCGAGGCTTCATACAGTAGCTAAACAAGCCCTTGATTTTGTTTTTGAAAACATGCAAACTGCAACGGAACGAACAGGTCCACCCCGTTCCTGGATGGGAAGTAAAACGTCTTCAAACCTGGAAAAAAAGTCCAGTGGATTGTTTTTTAATGACTATGACCTGGATGACTGAGTGATTCTTCACTGGAAAAAATCTAAATCTAGATAAGTCATTTTTTCATAAAATAAGTGCATTTATTCCTGGATTGAGGAGGAAAAAGGGACATTTTGCCAACGGAACAAGACAACTTCCACTTAAAATCAGAAAACACATTTGCATTGTCTTATTTCAAGTGCAAATTATCTAATTATCTTATTTTAAGAGTAAAAATACTCATTCCTTTGGTAAACTTTCTAATTTACCTACTAAAATTAAGGGAAAATACACTTAATTTAGGAAATGTTAACTTATTTCTAGATCGTTTTTCCAGTGTTTAATGCAGCTAAAAGGCTCCTCAAGAACTCCATAGTGAAGCTAGGCTAGAGCGTAGCTTTTTTTATTTTGTTGTCAGCAGAGATGGGAAGTAACGAAGTACAAATACTTCATTACTGTACTGAAGTAGATTTTTCTGATATTTTTACTTTACT